GGAGTAGAATTTACTCTTTAAAAGGAATGGACATATCGGAGTAATTATTGTATATTTACTCCTTTATTTTCACTCCAAAAAAGGAGTAAACATACCGGAGTAAGTAATGCATTTCTTGGAGTCAATTCAACTCTCATAAAGGAGTAAAATGAGAAAATTGGGAAATAAACATTACTGTAAGCTAATTTATTTCCCATACCGGTTTGACATATTTTTTTACAAAATGGCGAATTACATGCGAGATTCAAATTCTGAACCTAATCAAGTGTGGAAGTGGGATTTGTAACCGATGTGACCAGAGGCTCTTCCTTCTCGCCTATCGTTTCTTTCGCCTCGCAAAGAGCCTCCGGAACCAGGGCAATCTATGCATTTGCAGATGATTAACATAAATCCAGATCGTATCTTACACTTATGAATTTGCTATTCCTGCAAACTTGATTTCCTTGAGCCTTTGATTGGTCATCCAATCATGCGCCTCTTTCAACATCACGTGACAATACGAACCCAATACGCATCGCGCGCGCCATATTCAATCTTTTCTCCCTCGTGTTCACCAAGGCAAGGCTGGAAATTTGTGCTTAATGCGTTTTGTCGTTTTAAAACATTAAATTTGAGCTTCATTCTCTCCGTTTTGTCAAATATATTCAAGAAACAGTATACGGAGAAGAAATGGATTCAGATTTAGAGGTACTGTGAAGTTTATTTTGTTTTTATGGGAAGGATCGGTGCCCGTCTAAATATGCCATAATAAAAAATAATTTAGTGACTTAGGGTTTTATTATAACTATGGTATGCCGAAAATATATGATTTCCTTAATATTCTTCTTAATCCAAAGATATTTTATTCGTTTTAAGCAACATCAATGAGCCTAGAATTATCTGAGACTGAGTGTTATATATTGAGTGCAGGAGTCGGCTATTAGATTGTCTAGAACATACTGTATTTAATATGTTCTAGACAATCTAACAGAAGACGGGGTATCCATCACATATTCACATACTGACATAGCTATGAGAACATGTTAAACTTAAAGTATAACAAATCATTTTATGACATTTTCAATGATATATGGCTATGAGAATGAAAGTCTGATTTGCGTTCGTTAAATTTTCAAATCACATTTGCTTCCACATTCAAATTCCCTCTTCTCCTTGCGAAATTTCCTTAAATACCATGAAATTTCCCTGGAAGCACCGAAATATTATGTTGAAAATTATGAAAATATGATTTCTACTGCACTGGATTTCTGCAATAGTACAATGTATTGTTTATATAAATGTGGATCCAAGTGTGATTGTGATGTCTGGTCACAGTCCTGCTAGTGTTTTATTTGTACCAAAATACCAACCGAGGTGAGGTGTGGGGACTTCATGCAATGGCAGCTATTTTACAAAATTAACAGTGACAAATAGTCACATTTTATAGACAAATAATGGTTATTTTTAACATTTTAATAGCTCTGCACAATCGAGTTGCTTGATGGCAGACTGTAGTGATGTCTTACTAAAAAGAATTGGTTTCAAAACGAGGGCAGATTGTCAAATTAAAGATTGCTATACAAAGATATAAAAATCAGGTAAATTATAATTGCAATTAAAGGCATATAATTATGTATTCTTGACTTGCAAGCAATCCTTTGGCAATTAACAGATAATTGAATTTGGGGACCAACATGGCCTCCATTACAAGTCCAAGAATAAGGAATTGTAAGGGACTGATTACATGGAGAACTTTCAACCCGGAGGTTGAACTCAGCCCTGTTAACCGGGTTGAAATTTTTTGCGATTACATGGACGATTTCAACCCCGGGATGAAATGCTATACTATACTGGTGTAATGTACTCAGGTGAATAAGCTGCTTGTGTGATGTTACTCTGAGTGTATATCGACACTGGGCAAGCTTGAAAAATATGCCTGGCCACGGTGAGAATCGATCCTACGACCTTTGGAATACTAGCCCAGTGCTCTGCCAACTGAGCTACGCGGTCAGGTCGGGTCTGGCCACCGTGGCCAGGCATATTTTTCAAGCCCGCCTGGTGTAGATATACACTCAGAGTAACATTACACTGTAAGCATGCTATACTATACGTCTCGGCATCAATTCCCAGAGGTAAAAAAGCCTTCATTTTGTTTTCTTGTAATAAATAGTCACTACCACGCATGCTCGAATAACTCATGATAATTTCAACCCTGGGTTGAAACGATTACAACCCCGGGGTTGAGAATTTAACCCTGCTACCTGAAGCAGGGTTGAAATTTCAACCCCGGGGTTGATCTCAGCCCAGGGTTGAAAATTTTGTCATGTAATCGCGCGTTTGATTTTGATAGAGTTTTGTATTACTGTACAGACAGGGCTGAAATTTCAACCTGGTAAACAGGGCTGGGTTGAAAATGCTCCATGTAATCGGCCCCTAATTTTTATCATACATGGTATCATGAAATTTTGTCATTTATTGGAATTAGGCAGAGGTTTAAAATTAAATGTCTGGTTGCTCCTTTTATGGGTTACGCGGTAATTTGTAATTCTGCCCCTTGTACTGGAAGAAACTCATGCTCTGCATCTAAGGCAGACTCTTCCCTTTTGAATGCTTCATCCTTGGCATCTCGATGTATGTAATTCCCGCCCATCAAGCCCTACTGTATGGATACGATGTTGTCATTTTTCAACTTGTAACAGTAGCATACACGTAGCTAGCTTTGGCAACCAATTAGCTGGTTCTGGCTTTTGGATAAGTTGGGAACCTCCAGTGGGAATATGAATGTTTACTGTATATATTAGTGGCTTTAGCACAACCTCCTTTTAACTGGGATGTCTGAGTGAAGCAGTACCCATGCCACCCCCAAAGAGATATGTTGTCCAATGTCCATCTGCTATAAAATCTGATTTTCCTTAAATTCAATTTCAAACAGGGTGACAAATCTATTGATGATGCCATTGAAGCATCAGTCGCACCAAGACTTGTGGGGGCTGGTCAGGTCCGGTGATGTAAAGCCATAAATGATTGTACATCGCTAGAGAGGGCAAGATCCTGATGAAATCTAACAGTTCAATAACAATTGAGAATGTGTTGGCGCATCTTGTAAGTTGCTATTAAGTGTTCAATATTGCCAGAATACCCTGTGTCAACTGTCAAGCACAAATGTATTCCTGTTTTTGGAAGCTGCGATGATGCAGAGAACTAGGGAAGCTAAAAAATGGTTGCAATCAACAAATATTTGCAAGAACTTGAATAACATTTTAACAATTAACCGAGCTACAGTACGTGCTCTGCATCATGCATGTTGCTAGTAAACATGCAGTATTAGTATACTTGTAATTGAATGCATGTAAATTTTTGTACTTATACCTGAAGGCTGCGCTATCAAAGTTTCTGTCATCATGGTGGGAATTAATTTTGCAGAATGGGCAAATTGTAGTGTAAAAGAATTTGTAAGGACTTTAATTTTTAAAAGAATTTGTAAGAATTTTTTTTAACTTAGTTAGGTCGAACAAATCTTTTTCAACTTACTGCATGCATATAAACAGCAATTTTGATAGCGTTAACTACCCTGGTTCCAGAGGCTCTTTGCGAGGCGAAACAACATTACTGTAAGCTAATTATAGCTATTAATAATAGCTATAATTAGCTTGTTTATTTCCCAAACCGGTTTGACATATTTTTACAAATGGCCAATCACATGGGAGATTGAAATTCTGAACCTAACCAAGTGTGGAAGTGGAATTTGCAACCGATGTGACCGGAGGCTCTTCCTTCTCGCCTCTCGTTTATTTCGCCTTGCAAAGAGCCTCTGGAACCAGGGTAAGCGTTAACCAGCAAAACATATATAATCCTTGTACTTATGATCAAAGTGTTATGTTAATTAAAATTTTCTTCCTTTATTCATTGCAATTTTACTATTTGTTCATATTTTTAGTGTAATTTACACCCCCATAACTCATAAGGAATAACATTTACTCCACTTTTGGTATATGTTTTAACTCCAAAATGAGCGTAAAATTTTAAACTAGAGTATTTAGGGTAAATATTACTCCATTTTTGGTATATTTTTGACTCCAAGATGAGAGTAAAATTTTAAAACTAGAGTATTTAGTACTCCTGTTAGGGTAAATATTACTCCACTTTTGGTATATTTTTTACTCCAAAATGAGTAAAATTTTAAACTAGAGTATTTATAGTACTCCTGTGAGAGTAAATATTACTCCACTTTTGGTATGTTTTTGATTCCCAAGTAAGAGTAAAATTTTAAAATAGAGTATTTAGTACTCCTGTTAGGGTAAATATTACTCCACTTTTGGTATAGTTTTGACTCCAAAATGCGAGTAAAATTTTAAACTGGAATATTTATTACTCCTGTGAGGGTAAATATTACTCCACTTTTGGTATATTTTTGACTCCAAAATGAGAGTAAAATTTTAAATTAGAGTATTTATTACTCCTGTTGGAGTAAATATTACTCCATTAGTGAGGTAGAAAGTACTCTAAAAGTGGAGTTAAAATGTTGGAGTAAAAAATATTCCCAAAACAGAGTGAACTGGTACCTTTTTTTTTTACTCCTTTTTTGGAGTAGTATCTACTCCTTCAAATTAACAGTGAAGCTGATGTCAGTCAGCTTAGATGGTCCAAGCCAAAATTATATCGCATTTGAAGTTTCAAACTGTGTTAAAAATAGTGGAAGAAAAGCCATAATTATACTTATTGTTACAATCCATTTATTAAAATGCAACATTTTTTGTTTCAATGAAAAAATCAGTTATTTTCATGAGAACGATTTGTTATTCCATCTCAATTTTTTTAATCTCCAATCGCAATAACGTAAAGTATTATTACCCGCGAACCAATGAGTCAAATTTAAGAAGCAACCCACTGTTAGAAAGCTGAATGGCTACGCTTTAAAATGAATGTAAACTTTAACGTTTTCGTCTATTATTTGTTTAGCAATTTACATTTCAGTCGAGGATTGCGCTTTTTTTGATACATCCTGCATGTAGATCTGGAGGCAATCAGTCACAAATTATATAAATTAAATAATTACAAAAGTTATATTAATTACACAGAGAACGAAAAGTAAACACAAACAAACTGACACGTATTCGACTAATAGAAGAACTAAGTAAGGAATGATCAAATCAGCAATAAAATAATAGCGATCCATGTTCATTAACAAGACGATATTAAGACAAAAATAAAAAATGCTTTAATCTAGATTGGAATAAAGAAACACTTGGCGCATCACGAATATCACCATCAAGAGTATTAAAAAACTTCGGAGCTTGAAAAATAGCTGAAAATTTCCTGATATCTGTCCTACAGAAAGGTATATGATACAAATGTGAAAAACGTGTATCATATTTATGAATTTGATTCATACGAGGAAACATATTATCAAAACTACTAGGGAGTAAATTATTGTGATATAAGTACATAAATTTACCAAGATGATACAAATAGATTTTATCAAATTTTAGAATCTTTAGTTCACTAAAAATGGGATCAGAATGTGCGTCAAATGGTTCTTTATTCAAAATTCTCATAATACGCTTTTGAAGCAAAATAATACGTTTTAAATTTGATGGGTAAGTAGAACCCCAAACAGTGATACAATACTGTAAATAGGGATAAACCAGCGAAAAATATAATTTACATAAAGAAGATTTAGAAAGAAAAAAACTAGCTTTGTATATAATGCCAATACATTTCGATATTTTTCTAGCAACATGAGAAATATGAGGTTTCCAAGAAATATGTTCGTCTAGGATAACACCAAGGAAAACGACCTCTTCAACCCTATCAATCACCAAACCATTTATCATTATAGATAAATCATTATGCATTATTCTTTTCTGTCGGGGTTTAAAGATCATATAATTAGATTTCTTAGTATTTATCGGCAACTTATTAGCCTTGAACCACTCAGATAACCTTTCAATCTCGCAATTAACTATATTCATTAAGGAAGAGAAGTCATTATGCGAAAAAAATACATTTGTGTCGTCAGCAAACAAAATCAATTCTAAAATATTAGAAACATTGCCAAGGTCGTTGATATATAGGAGAAACAGGAGTGGACCAAGGATAGAACCTTGAGGCACTCCACATTGAATAGTTTTGTAAGAGGAACATGTATTATTATATTGAACAAATTGCAATCGATTGGAAAGGTAACTTTTCATCCATGTAAGCGCCACTCCTCGGATGCCATAATGCCTAAGTTTATCAAATAAAATTTCATGGTCTACCGTATCAAATGCCTTAGAAAGATCTAGAAAAATTCCAATCGTAAATTCTTTTTGATCAATAGCTGATGTTATTTTTTCGCACAAATGCATTAAAGCTAAAGATGTTGAATGGTTTTTTCTGAAACCATATTGATTATTGAAAAAAATACATGAATTATTAATGTAATCTAAAATACGTTTATGGACGACTCTTTCCAATAACTTAGAAAAGATAGGTAGGATTGATATAGGTCTATAATTCTGAAAGAGTCTATGATCGCCAGACTTGAATAAGGGTATACAACACGGGCAATTTTCATAAGATCAAGAACAATGCCCGAGGAAATAGATAAATTGATAATATGAGTAAGAGGACTAGCGATTATATCCATAGAATCCTTTAGAACCGACATCGGTAACTTATCATAACCAGCAGCCGTTCCAGACCGCAGTGAGTTAATTATATCAATTATTTCTTGTTGGGTAGTCAAATCAAGTGATATGGAATTGATATAATTTCCCGTTAAATATGTACGGTGCGAGATATTAGTCTCAGGTATTTCCTTTGCTAGATTAATACCAATATTAGAGAAATAGTTACAAAAATTATTGGCAATTTCGGTGGGATTGGAAATTTCTTTATCATTGGAAACAAAGGTTGATGGTAATTTACAGGTGCGTTTTTTCTTATTAATGACTTCATTCAATATTTTCCATGTTATTTTAATATTTGCCTTGAAATACTCTAATTATTTGTCATAGTAAATGCGTTTAGCAACTCTTAGAGAATGAGTCAATTTGTTTTTATATCTTTTATAAGATGTCTCATTAATATAACTGGGTCTTTTTAAATACCGCTTATACATTTTATTCTTACGTCTTATTGATTTAAGAAGACCCTTAGATAACCATTGTTTTTTTAGAGCATGTCTCTTTTTTTTAACCCTTTTTAGTGGAAAACAATTATTATATATTTCACGATATTTAGATAAAAAACTCTCATATGCCTTTAGAGGATCGTAAAACCCTTCTAAATTTTGCCAATTGACATTACTTAAACGATGTCGGAATTTAGCTGCGTTTGTTGCATTTTTATCACGGAATACTATATATGCGTCATCATTCCTATCCAGCAGTCATGATCGAGTAACACAGAATATGGGCAAATGATCGGAAATATCTGAGAGCAATAAGCCGTTAAAAGAATAATTATCTGAGTGATTGGTAAATATGTTATCGATAATCGTAGCAGTATGTGACGTTATTCTTGTTGGAAGCGTTATTAAAGGAAAAAACATATAACCAAACATAATATCTAGAAATTCCGCAGTAAGTTGATGACTGTGGTGATTCAAAAGATTCAAATTAAAATCACCCATTAGATAACAAATTTTGTTTTCCTTGGAAATTATTCCCATGAGAGTATTAAGGCTATTTATGAACTCATGTACGTTTTGTTTAGGCGGTCTATAAATAATACCAACAATAATGTTTTTCCCCTTTGCATTAGTTAATATTTCTATAAACAGGGATTCGACACATGACTGCTTAGGGAAACTTAAATCCTTACGTAGTTTATATTCCAATTCAAGACTTAAATATAAACCTAAACTGCCTCCAGATCTATCATTTCGGTGGCTATGTACAAAATTATATCCGTCAATATCAACGGTATGTGATGAATCTTGTAACAAGTTTCAGAAATACCAATAACCGAAAATTTATGGTCGACCAAGAGAAGTAAATTTGTCAGACTGTCGAAATTCCGTCCAAGACTTCGAATATTTAAATGAAAAAAGGATAAGTCTTCTGAATATGCACAATTGTCTTGAATGGTTTTACTTAGACCACTCTCTGCAGGTGCGGATCCAGCCTAAAACCCTGACCGTGGCACACTGCAAAACCGCAATTTGAACGCCGGAAATGCCATTTCCTGAGTTCTGAGCATCGAATTCTATCATATCATTCGTCATTAATTACGCCATATTTTAGACAGCAAATAACGAAACGCACTAAATAAGTCAAATATTTAAACAACATACCATGTTCTTCAGCGAACGTTACAATATTAGAATGTTACAAAATCACCGTCTTACATAAACCCCAACTCTGTACCGTCAACAAAGGCTGCGCACGTACTGTTCCTGTGTATTTCAGGTTCTTCGTAGCAAAAAATATCCATTTAGGGCTGTACATCGAACTCAATCATCTTGGTGTTTCAGTTGCAACGTAGATCTTTTACGGGGTGGGTTTTTTTTAGCTGCACATCGGTACCAAGTGTCTTATTCTCGATCATTCGCTTAAACTGTGTAGCACGGAGAGCTGCCGACTGCCGTTGCATGAACATTGGATTTTTCACAATGCTGACATAGTTTCTGGACAGCAGAAGCACTTGGAGGAAGAGCACTGGTCATCAATCGTTGGAGCTTGCTTGCATTATGCGTGTTTTCACCGCCAAAAAGAATACAAGTGACGCAAAAACCACAGTTTGCCACAGCATTGTAAGCCAACCATGGAAATCGTGATAACCATACCAACCGGAAACGTCTACCAATATTTTCGTGTGGAGGAAAAGAAAAATCAGAACCAGGTTTCCGATGATTGCACAGAATTTCGTACTTTTTCGAATCAGGAAGACTGGACACCAGATTTACCGTAGTTGTAGATATCATCTGGCCACGAATTGGCAGAAGTTCGTTGTGTTTTGGTGTTAGATTTTTCTGAAGTAGAACCAGTGCTGGGAAATTTGATTTCATTGTCTACAGTTTCTTGTGTGTTGCATGCTCGTTTCACAAGAAGCGCATCGATCTAAGCTAATTTGTTTTCTTTTTGTACCAGTCGTCTGCTTTTTAGTAGATGTAGTCACTTGTGTAGAGGAAGGAGCTAGCAGAAGAAACTTTAGTATTTGATAGAAACTTTAGTATGAACTGTAGGAGGAACTTTAAGATGAATTGGCATGGCAGACTTCAATAAGGTTGGAAGGTGTGCTTTAAAATAATGGTCTTGTGGCTGAAGCGCTTTAACTGGTTTGCACAAGGTAACAAAATGATTTTTGATAGATGGAATTCTTCGATAACCAAATAAGACGGTGGCATCGCAGCACAACGAAAGATATGGACATATTCAATTGCACTGCCATCAAGATAATCCCATGGATATATTGTACAGTTGAATCCAAGGAATCCCAATTTTCTTTCGCTACAGTATCATTGGTGAGTGGGTAGAATGACTGAATGGCACACTGAATTACTGTGGACAAGGCAAACATGTACACCATGGATGAGAATGTAATTTTTTGCAGTTTCCTTTGCTTCTTCTAAAACTGCTGCAATTTCATTACAATTCTCGAAAATAGTAAGTGCTGGATCAGGTACACACATGGCAAAGGCATTTTTAAGTGAAGTGAATATTACGTTTTTATGCTGGGACTCAATGAGGGGATGGTTAGCATAGTATTTGGCATTCTCAAACAGTTCCATACTGGTGAGGCATGTTAAGCGAGCAGACAAACTCTCATTCCCGATTAACGCAATAGAACATGTATTAAAGAGACAATTCCCATTAGCCGAAGTACTGAAAGAAAATCAGCTTTTAAGTATCAATGGTTATTTTATATTATTTTGTGAATATTCTATTGAAACTTTTAACCAGAATGACAACTTCTTTGTACCACACAGTAATTATGTGATTATACTTTGCAAACTTCACTCAAATTATCTGGAGAACAAATGTTATGCCTTGCCATTTGAGAAATAGCAAGGAACCATTTGTTTTCCCAAACGTTTTCCCTCCTTTTGCTGGCCTTGACTAACTCATGGGAATTTGTTGCAGTTAGGATTAGGATCAGGATGACATCATCCACAACAACATCAATATTTATCCACAACAAACACCTGTGAGGTAGTCACCCTCCAGGGGCCAGTTGTTCAAATGCCCGTTAGTTTAACCCTGGGATAAAATTCAAAGCAAATTGTCTATGAATTTAAAAATAATATTTGCTGTGTTGGTGTAATGTACTCAGGTGAATAAGATGCTTGTGTAATGTTACTCCGAGTGTATATCCACACCGGGCAGGCTTGAAAAATATGCCTGGCC